GCTTTTCCTGCTAAACAATGCGCACATATTGACAAGTTTACTTTTGAGATATCACCCAAAAGTCCGTCTTTGGCTAGCCTATTCATTCTTTCTTGCCCAACATGGCAAAGTCTAGTATGCCATGTATTTGCATCAACATTATGACTACCAGAAGATGCAATCAAAGAAAAGCAATAGTCATAATTTACATTTTCTTGTACCACATCTAGCACAAGAAAGTTATCCAAAAGGTGTGCGGAACCAACATATTGAGTGCCAAGACATATATTTACATCATGACCATGAAGACTCATGAAAAAATCCAAACGCGTAAGGACAGTAACTGAAACCAAGTTTCGCCGAATGTTTGGTGCGTACAGCACATCATGTAGGAATAAGGTTTGGCCATTTGTCAAACATAGTTTACAAGTGCCAATACCCTTAACTACAACTCTGGCATTGTTTCCTACATATACCCATTTTGTGTTTGCTGGAATTCGGTGTCGACAAAAGCTCCTCTTTCTCTAGCTACATGGTCTGTGGCTCTTGAATCTAGAGTCCAAAGAGGATTCGCTTCAGCGAGCATTATAGTGCTAGAAACAAAATTATAGTTAAGAGGAGAATTGAGCAATACCTTTTTAGACTCAGTGCATTCACGAGCATAGTGACCTAATTTGCCATAATTATAACAAGATTGATTGCTCGTCCTTTTTCTTACCACCACGCTTACTTCTCCTGCGGTTGCCAGTCTGAGTTTTTTAAAATTTTGGGACAACCGTTTTGAACGCCTTCCTTTTTTTGTTACGTTTGAAGTCACGTTTGAAGTCAGAGGGCTTACTTGTGTTTGACTCAGCAATATAAGCCTGTCCGAAAGATCTAGTTGCCTCTAGGCGCTCATCCTCCAATTCAACATGATGCCTTGCATCTTCAAATGTTTTGATGTTAATGTTGTGAGTCATGTTGACTTTCATATGCTCCCAACTCTAGGGAAGTGATCTAATGACAACTTGTACTTGTTGCTCATTAGTCAATATATGTCCAACAGACTTTAACTCAGTAATCATGTTTGACATTTCTCTCAGATGCTGCTTCATCAAGTGATGTTGTTTTTTCACATAAGTGTCAAACTTGATTGTCAGTTGTCTGACTTTAGTAGATGAAGTCACTCCAAACTTTGCCTTCAAAGCAATCCACAGTTCATGAGCTGTTGGATAATTCTCATACCCAACCATCAGATCATCTTGCATACTGCTCAGCAGTGTGATGCGAGCATTACTATTTTTTTTTTCTAGGCTTGATAAGCCTCTAGATTTTTCTGATGGTGAGGAATATCCCCATACTCTGGTTCACTCATGGTATGATGGAGAGCCTCCAAATATTCTTGCTCTTCAAGAATATACTGAACCCTTCGATGCCAACATCGAAATTGTCTCCTTTCAGTTTCTCCCCTTTGTTTAATTCAGCCACAATAATTTTTGTCGCAATAGCCATGTTCTCAATCAAGCTACAAATAGACAAAAAAGGCAAAAAAAAATAAAATAAAATAAATAGCACTAAAAATATATTATTCATTTGCAGCCATTATTACTGAAATAATATTTACTAGAAGTAATGAGTACAAGATCGAAAGTTTGCATAGCTTCCAATAATCTCTTGTAAACTAAAAACTTCTAAAGTAATATTATTCCAATATATATATGCTAATTTTGGGTGGAAATTTTAACTTGACTAACCCATGCCTCCCACTTAAATAAAACATATACAGTAATAACATAAAATGCATACATCAACATACATTTATTATGCATTAATATTCATGAGAAAAAAATGCTTTTTCTCAAATGATAGCATAATTCAATAATTATTATCAATTATTCATAGACAAAATTGAACTAGATATCCTTAATTAAAACATTCCAAATAGAATGCACACATGACTTAAATATATAAATCATACCAAAAAAAAAAATTAGGGACTTAAATACAAGCCTTTATTCCAATTTTCTTTAATTTCATGAATATACCAAAAAAAATTTGAACTATTTTCTAATGGTAACTGATAGTTCAAATTATCATATATTCCAAGAGAGCAAAATACAAGAAAAATTTGGCGCAAGAATCACATTTTTTTGATTCATAGATGATTTTCTGCAAATTTCCAAAGAAAACTCATTTTTGTTGCGTTTTTCTGGTTTTTTTTATTAGCTAGTACAGCCCTAGCCACACAACATGGCAAGTGTCTTCGCGTGCTTGTCTTCTTCTTCATTAGTTCACATAAGTCAATGAATACAGCTATAGGTTATGTGACTAGGGACTCTTGAACTTAGATTTCTCACTGTCTGAGCATCCGTTTTGCGCACATGATATAGTGTTGAAAAGCTCTTTCAGAGTACTTCATAAATATGTAATAAAACATATTCAATTTTGCACACACAATTTGCAGAAATTCTCCGAAAATAGCTCGACAACACATATGTAAACTTCAAAAAACTCAACAACAAGAGAGAATTAAACGATGAAATTTTGCAGGTATATTCTAACCCACATGAGGAACATATTCCATAAATTTCATGGCCTGAAATTATGTGTGCCAAAATCGGCCATTAAAGTTCATGCTCTAAGCTTTAACCAAAAAACCAGTGCAAAACACTTCTCAGAGCATGGCTGGGCATGAATTCAGCCTTAGAGGCTCTGATACCATTGTAGGAAATTAAAGACGAACAAAATCGGGTTACCTTACATTAAAGCTTTGGTCGCAGCGAATTTTTTAGATTTAATATTCTAGCTGAATCACATGCTCTTGGTCGGGTGTGAATCACAGTGGAAATCACACACTTTTCACAACCCAAATCCTAGGCTATATTTTCTTAGTTCTTCTATTTTCTAGAAGAGGAGAAAATTGGAAGAAGGACTCGAAAGCTCACTCTTGTTCTTGCTTCTTCTATCAATTCTTATAGAGACATTTGTCGGTCTCTATTCCTTTCCTTTTTCGGTGGGGCAGTGGAAAATGTTACCTGTTTACTCCTTTTCATTTCTTTTTGTTTTGTTTCTACTTTCAGGTAGAAACCGAGTTGGACAGCCCATCATGGGCGTCCACCTATTTTTCCCACAGCTTTAATAAAGTCTGCTCAAATTAAAGTATAAAATATCCCAAATATTCAATCAAGCTCAACTAAACATACTTGAATTTCAAAGCCATTATTTTTGGATCTTTTCAATTTGATACCTTTCAAAAAAATTTTACTCAATAAGCTAATATGGTGGTATCATCCTAGAATACAATGCATTCAAACTAGCACATCCTATTATTGTTTCTATATTTGTTGCTCCACTATTCCCTTGCTATAGCATATCATACTACCAAACCACCAGGAGTACTAAGGTTATTGGACCTTATAATACAAAGAACATTTGTTTCCTTTCGTTCAAGCCCTTGATTTCCCTGAATCGCATAGCTAAACACAATGTCACTAGAGCTTTATGCAGCCAAGGGTCCATAATGATGGGCTCTTGAAAGTAGAGAAAAGTAATTACGTTAATCCAAGAAAGCTGACATGCAGCTCCCCCTTCAAACTGGATTTGGAGTTGAAAGAAAGTTTTGAAATCCTTCCCTATCTTCTCTAGCTGATAAAGTGAAATATTCCTTTTGCCTTCTAAAAGAAAAGGAACTCTCCACAACCAATTTAAGATGAAGCTTGAGGAGATTGGAAAGTTTGAATGGACAATGCATTTATTATTATTACTTTTTTTTCGTAGAGAAGAGTGAAATTTAAGAAGTCGAGAGAAGGAAGAGGGATATTTGAACCCGATCTCTATTTTAAACACAAAACCAAGACTTGCTTGCATTTATTAGTTGTTATTTTTAGATAGTTAAAGAACTGAATTCAACACATTATCCTTGATTGTGCCTTTAAAGATGCAAACTGCCATTAAGAATACATGCACAATTTACGCACATTATCAATTACACTAATGCATGAAAAAGAATGAAAAAAAATCCAAATAAAGCGCAAGCGTGATTTGGAGTATAGATTTTATCTGCTTGAATTTGTGGCAGATAGTAGAATAAATGAATGCATAATACGAAAAACAGTTGAAAAAAAGAAAAAAAAAAGAGCATATTCAGAAAAAGTTTCTTGCGGATCGTAACGGAGGTATTGTAACCTTGGGTGCCAGTTCTCAACAAGTAACACGTGTCTCCATTAAGGGACTATCCCAAAATCGACTAGTATGAAGGGGATATGAACAACCTTGGGCCAGTCTTCTCCTCTCCCCCATTCTAAGCTTGGTTTCAGCAGTGAGCAGTGCTCGATTCGCATTGCATTGAGGGAGGCGGGCAGTCCTGCATTTGGCAGCGACTGGAGTAGATAACAATGAGTGATTGCCAGTGTAGTGAGGGAGGCGGGCAGTCTTGTATTTGGCGGCAATTGTAGTAGATGGCAGTGAGTGATTTCCAGTGTAGTGAGGGAGGTTGGCAATCAATCTTCTGGTAGGGACAGGAGTCGAATGCAAAAACTGATCTTTAGATTTTCAAGAGAAGTCAGGTTCCCAAGACCAGAATAGCTTAGCATTTTCAGATTCTTCATGCTGCACAATTCTAGAGATTTAAGTGAAGGCATAAACCAGTCCTTTGGAAATGACTCTAGTTCATTGATACCATCAATGCTCAAGTTTGTGAGAGGGGGGGAGTTTATCCAAATCCCACTCTCCGGCCACTCATGAGCTTTTCACAATCAGAGATCACAACTCACAAGGGATTGAATGCCGGAGGGCAAACCTTCTTCTGGAAAGTACTCGATTTCTGGGCAATCATATATGCTTAAATACCGAAGAGATGGGAGGAGGGCTTCCATCTGTTCCATCTTCGTGCAATTGCTTGGACTAATCTCTGTTAGATTGGGGGCTGGCAATCCTCCACCTGGAGAAGAGATTAGATCATAGCAACCCCGATGTCTTGGGATTGTAGTGAAGTCAGATTGCTACTTTGATTCCCAATCTCACTTGGAGGAATCGAGAGCATCTCAATTCTTTGGCATTAAGTTTATGCGGAGATGTTTCAGCATATGAAAGGAGCCTAATGACAGAGCTTTGAGAGAGCGGCACCCATTTAATCCCAAAGACTCCAGGCTCCCACTTTGCCAGGTTTCACTCTCTAATTCCAGATTGCGGCAAGTACCACATACAAGTGTTTTTAGTGAGGCGGGTAGGTAACTCATGGGAGAAGGTAATATAGACCCACAGTTATATATCTCCAAATATTCAGGACTGGCTAACTTGTTGAGCTCTCGGCACAGCTCCTTCAAATTCTCCATCCATGAAATCTTTAATACGGAAAGAGATGAGAATTGTTTAACGTCTCCCTGGAATATACCCAATTGACCATTGGGAAGCACAAGTTTGTGGCAACCACCTATCTCAAGCCTTTGCAGTGATGAAAGTTGTCTGGGAAGTTCTCCAATCAGCTTGGGACAATCAATTATACCAAGCTCTCTATAGAAAACTTCACATTCCGGTATATGTCACTTCACCCAATTTGGCATTCTCTTAAATCTCAAACTTTTTGAGAGACGGAAATGGTTTGGTTGTGCTGGTGGTGATGTCTCCATAAAACTCTCACTCAAGGCTGTTATATTACCCATTCCAACAAGTTCAAGTAATTTCCGGGACCATAGCTGTCCAAGTGCAGGCAAGGTTGATATCTTACTCAGTCCATTTATTTCAAGTGACTGCAAGGCCTGTAGTTGACCAAGTGCAGGCAAGATATAGCAATTTTCACAGCTGGATATACTCAAGGATTCCAAATGGGAAAATGAAGGGTTTCCTAACCAATTTGGAAAGCTTGTCCGGCAATATCCGTCGATCTTTAGACGCTTTAAATTCGAACGAGATTGGAGTTTATCAAGCACATCCTTTGCAACTTGTGATTCATTAGTATCACCATTCCACTTCAAAGTTAGCTTTTCAAGGTGTTTCTTGCCCTTCATGTTTGCCATGTATGCATCTCTACCAGCAGAAACATTTTTAAGCCTTGAAAGGAATAGCTTACCACGAAGCATAGGAAGCTTGCCCAACTCCTCAATTGTCGAACCACTATTTTTACCTACCACAAAATTACTCAAAACTTGAAGGCTTTTTAGTCTACCCATTTATAGTGACATTTTCTTCTATGGAATTCCTCTAATATCCAGGTTGCGCAAGTCAATTAATTGTCCAAAATCTGCTGGCAACTCTTCAACGGTCCTACAACTTGATAACAGCTAGGTTTGTAAATTGTACAGGGAGCATATCCAATTCGGTAGCTTTTGTATGTTTGTGGAGGAGAGATTTAGGAAACGAAGTTGTTTCAAGCCACTAAATAAATTGGGCAGCTTAACAATACTAAGATAATGAGACAAATATAAAACCCTTAAGGACATTAATTGGGTCAAGGCATCCTGAAAGAATTTGTTGCTCAGTTCACAAGCAGGATTAACGAATAGACTCATTCTGATTGGTAGGAATGTTCTCAGGTTCTTGGTCTCCCTCGAGAGCATGGTTAGTCATCTAGCCGAGTTAACCAAAAAAGGATTCAGCATTCTGTATAAAATGATAAATGAAAAGATGCCAATTATTTTACGTTCATATTAACTAAAAACATAAATTTATCGAGAGTTCTTGATCAAATAACATTTTCTAGAATTTTGCATAGAATTGCAATTTCCATTGGACAGTATGGAAGTGGTTGTAGTTTTTTTAGGCAATCCTCTTTTGCTCACAAAGTACCCACACAGCTCAACAAGCATGAGGAAATGCTGGATGAAATAAACAGCCTAATGCAAGGGTTAGATGGCCTCTTGGTAGAGCTGTTAAACGAACAAGCGGCTTGTGAGCTCAACTCGGCTCGGATCATAAAAATTCGAGTTCGGTTTGTTAGGTTCATTTAATTAAATGAGAAAGTTCAAACATCAAATTAAGCTTGTCTTCTAAATGAGCTGAGTTTGGCTCCGCTCACGAATAGTTTATTTAAGCTCTAAGCTCATTTGTACATTTATTCAAGCTAGTATTACTAGTTGTTCTTAGTAATTATGTAGATTTATCTTGTCATGATGGTTTAGAATTGTGTTTTGTTTAAATATTTGGAATCTTCTTATATTTGTTGAATTTTTTTTTCATTCAATAGATAAAATCAAATTGATTATATTTTTTCAGTTGCAAAATTGTATAAGATATTCAAGCATATTTGAATTTTTTTGAGATCGAGCTCATCGAACTATGCTTGTTTATGTTATGCGAGTCAAATTCGACCTCGAATTCAAATTTGGGATAATTTTAACAAGCTACGTTCAAACACAATTTTCAAATTGTTACATAAATAAGCAAAGCAAACTCGGCTGGATAGCTTAATGAGTCCAGCTTGGAAGACAAAAAGTTCGGCTAAGCTCGACTCGTTTAAAACGCAACCTCTTGAACTAACTCGTTCTAAAGGAAGAGGAGAAATATGCTTCCATATAGAATTTGTCTTCACCAACAGGTAATCAAGCAAATTGACAGCAATAAATCACAGCTGACCACATTGCCCACAAATTTAGGAATCATAAGAAGTGGTTAATCCGAGCATGTCAAAATGAGTATCAAGGCTCGACTCTGGATTAGTTTAGAAGTCGTGTGATTACCGGACACCAGGAATTCACACACACACGAAGAATATGGTGATGATGAACTATCTATGGTAAAACAAACTCCATTCTATTTGCAGAAAAAGGCTGGGTCAATTGAAGCCCAAACTAGGCTCATTTGCAATTGGACCTAAGAATTGAGCCCAATCCCAATTTATAAGAAGCTTTGCTCGTTTTGACACAAAACCCCATTAAAGATCAAAAACAAAAATTAAAAAAAAGGCCTACAGTAACAAGATGTGATGTACCAATCCCAGCTTAGTTTTTTTTTTTTTTTGGATAAAATAAAAAAATTTTTATTACTAAACTTGCTGAAATTCAATGAACAAAGCTTGGGAGTAAATTCCAAAGAGACTCGACAAAATTAGTGGTTTTGGCATATTACACTAGAATTCATGCACAACCCTATCTGCAGCTCATGGAACCCAACTAACATCAATGTTTGGGTAACTAAATAGGACAGCATTGCAAATCGTTTGACCAATAGCAAAGAAGACCTCTTTAGTACTGCTGATTTTCCGAATTATTAAGGCAGCGCCTCCTTCTAAAGTTGAGTTTGGGATTGATAAATTCAAAGCAAAAGTTACAACTTCCCTTGCAGCAATAGCCACACACCATCTCTACATCAATAACCCCCTGAAATTTCTTTGATAAGCCTGCCAAGAATTCACCCGTAAGATTGCGGGTATCAGTTAACTTAGTTGGTAAGGACATTGGTTAGATTATTTCAAAATTCTTGGTTTAATTATGAATTCCTTTCCTTTTTTCCTTTTTACTTGTAAGGTTTAGAATCTTCCATTGAAAAAAAAGGGGTGTATATTCAAAGATACACATACATTCAATAAACTTTTTAAATCTTTTGCTGAAGAAGATAAGTAAATTCATAGGGTTACATCAACTCAGGAAATTGAAAATTTTAGTTAATCTGTACTAGTTATAGTACTTTGTGGTTGCAAATTTAACATAACTTTGGATAAGGAACTACAGTGCAAACCAGCATTCTTCCATGTTTAGGATTGGCAACGAGGTGGGTTTGGAGCGAGGGACCCCTCTCCCGTCCCGTCCCCTGCCCCCCGCTCTCAGCCTCGCTTCCCCCATGGAGGCATCCACAGGGTTAATAAAAAATTGCTATATAATTTCATTGTAGTCAAATTTTAACAAATAATTAGGTACTAAAATATCTACACATCATCAAGTCATTATCTATTATAATTTTACAATTGAAATCCACAAAAATAATCAAACGAAAACTATTTGAATACAATCTAATATGATAAAACAAATACAACTAAAGTAGTCAAATTTTCACTTTTAAAATAAATACAATCGCTAAATCATTGTTGTATTTTGTTTTGAGAAAAAGTGTAATTGTGTTAAGTGTAATTAGGAATTTAGTATAAATATATTACTAAATTTAGTATAACTAATTAATAATTTCTATTAGTAGACATGTATAATTATTAGCATAATTGTTAATATCAATTATATTACATATACTAATATACATTATATAATACTTATAACAGGTTGTAACTAATTAAATTAAATATTATATATACATATATAAAAATATATTTAACAGGTGGCAGGGCGGGGGATAGGGCGGGGATATCCGCCCCGTTTCTTAACGGGGAAACCCCCGCCCCGCCCCAATTGTTATTCCTATCTATGTTGGAAGGGATTAGTCTACATCGGACTTTTTATTGTACTCTTTAATTCTCTTTCAAAAAAATAAAGTACCTAAAAAGCCATAATCATTCTAAACCAAGGCTCTTTTTTTTAAAAAAAAAAAAAAAATTGAGATCGACTGCTTAAATTGAGATCTAACAAACATGAGAGGAGGTTACTGTTATTCTTAAATCAAGAGGGGAGATCTCTAATTTTTGTTAAAACTAGATGAAAAATTAGTGTAATACACAATTCTTAATTAATAAACTACTTCTGAATTTGTAAAATATTACCAATATTTCTCCTACAATTATGATGTAACATTCTCTGAATGTAATACCAAATATTACTTACAGTATCTAGCATTATTCCAATTCAAGTTCTATTGAATGCAAAAAAGAACAGTTTGTAAATCATATATATAAGCCCTCATAAACCTAGAAAACTAAAATCCTACTCACTATCACTATTCTCCAATGAGACTTCATTCTTGGCCAGATTGAACTTGAACAATTCTTCATCTTGTTCATCGGCTTCATCTTCAATAAATAGCTTAGCTGAGGTCTTCAACTTGATCTTCTTATTTAACTCTTTTATTTTGATATGCATGCTTCTTTTTCTATTAATTTCCGGCTCGTTTTTCTCCAGATCCCTTGCACACTTAGCTTCAGACAGGTTGCTAAAAGATTTGGCTTTCCCATGATAACATTTGGACAATCCCCTACTTGAAGAAAAACTCATAAATACAATAACACACAAATGCATTAAGAATTAAAATATTCACTCTGCCATAATATAAACTGAATTGACAAAAACAAGAGAGAATATTTTTTGTAAGTTCTTTAGAGTTAGAGTTTCTGATATAAAAAACAAAAAAGAGATCAAATAAACAAGGAAAAAGGGCATTCACTAAAAGTAGCACTAGCGAAATCCTTAGAAAGAGTATCCATTGGGGTTTTTGGCTCTAGGGTTTTCTCTTCCTTCTTGTTCATCTTGGGTAGTTCTCTCCATTCAGTTACATTGAATTTATTGGCATCGATCTGGTGGTATAAATGGAAGATAAGATATGACAGCCTAAGGATCAAGATTCTGAGAAGATTGTGCGTGTTGTATATAAGGAAGGTGAATAACAGAAAAATATAGGAAGTGAGCTTTTTTTTTTTTAATATTAAGTTTACGTAGAAAATGTGACTGAAATGGTTAGAAAAGAGAAAATCATGAATTTGTAAATAAAAAGGAAAAAATACTTGCTGAAATGGAAGCACAGAAAATAACTCAAAGTTTAATTTATTTTGTATAGATGATTTTTTTGAGCTATTTTATTTTATTTTGTTTTATATTGACTATCGTTAATTTAACTCATAATCGTTGCCATATAAAAAAAAAAAAAAAACCAACTGGAATTAAAATTATGAACATGCTTAAGCAAAAAGAAACGTAATTATGGGTTTAGCTTGACTTTAACGACATAAATCATTCTTAATTGAGGAAAACCGTTTTAGATGAAGGAGCTATGAGTTATCCATTGCAATTACTACGCGGCCTAAGAGTTTATTAAGGATGATTAAGACAATATAAAGTTGGGTTTACCATCTTGGTTGCTAGCGTTTTGTAAAAGATACTAGACAGCTGGATTTAACATTTCGATACCAATGTGCTATGCATGGATTGCAAAATTTTGGATAAGAGCTCGATTGAGGAACAAGTAATTATCTATCATGAAATTATGGATATTTAACCTAATTTATTTGGTGTGACTCATTGACATGGCCCCGCCAGTTCACAAATTTGCCATCAATCTCTAGTTTCTACAGTTATTTGCA